TACCATTATAGAATGATCCTGTATTTGGCCAATCACGTTCATGATTACCACTGCAACAAAAATCATGGAAAACATTGATCAACCAAAATTATTAACATAAATCTTAAAAAATGGCCACACAAACACAGTAAGCTACATGCAAAACTACAAACCTTGCAATCATGTATGGCACAGTTGATGCAATGGGTTCCACCTGTGATGTGAATTGGTCCCACTGGGAAATGTAACCATTTGCATAACATATGTCTCCTATGTGGAAAACTATGTCATAGTTGCCTAAGTCCCCAATCAGTTGGTCTGTAGTGTTGAGTGCACCAGGCTGATAGTTATTATACTCATTTGAACCATCACGTTCCCCCTAAGAGATGAAGGGAAAATTGTTAATCTCATTATTCAGGACATTACTTGGCCTAAAAAAGTAAAGGGAACAAGGAATGAACTGAAATCTTAGAATGAATTCACTTTATTCTTATTTTGAACAAATGATGGTTCAAAATGCACGACATACTGATTTGAGAAATAAAAGTTAAACCATAAACCTTTGTGCCTATCATCTATTGCAGGTTGAATGAATGGAATTATGGATGTGGTTTCGAGTATGTTAAGTTTAAAATAGCATGAGTTGATTAGAAACATCCAAGAACAATTTTTTTCTTTATTTCCAGAATAAGCAGCATATGACAGGAGAGGAATAAGATAGAGAAAAACCCTTCAGTATATTTTATAGGTTGTTGACATTACCTTACCCATGTCACCAAATATTATCACCCGTTGTAGTGAATTTTGTCCTGGATATGGAGATGATTTGAATGAGTAGATGTTGCTCCAAACATATAAACCATTGGATAAGAGGTGACCGATCCGGTATGTGTACCTGAAAACCCATCATCAAGACCATATAAGTGAATCATTTAAACTTAACAACCCACATTTTGAAGGGAAACTGGATAATTAGGATGAGTACACAGCATTTGGCCACAAATTCTTCAAGAAACTGGTATGTATGTAGCCAGGATCCCTCCAACCGACAGTTCTTGCAGGTGTACCTGCAGAAGAATATGGTTAGGCCTGCCTCCATTCTCTACCTAACAAAGCAAAAAGTGCAAATAAATTACAGGATGTATGGTCCTCTGTACTTTTATGATTAAGCCTATAAAATAGGATTCTATTAGATTCAACAAGAAAAGTTAACAACCTGACTGAAAAGTCCATCATACATTCATATTGTAGCCGTGAAACCATAGAATAAGTTCAATTACTCTAAAAGGTCCAAAACCACCTAGTCTTGGTGATGTGTACTCTTCTAAAGATTGAAATCTTCTAACAAAACATTTTTTTTTTTTTTTGGCCACTAAACCTTCTAACAAAACCAAAAATAAAAAAGCTCACTATTTACAGATAATCCAAAATTCTTTAAGTGAGATGGTATGATTCAGAATTATGATTCAGTAAACACCCTCAAACATGTCAAAGGTCTATGAAATGGTACTATTCCACAGGGCTCAACAAGGAGCTCATATAAAATGGGGAGCTTAGGTGAGATATTAATCAAATAGACATTCACATTAAGTATGGTGTGTTTCATATTTAAAGCCCTGCTGCATCATATGTTACAGCTTAGATGTCCAATCTAGAGTAGGTCAAACATACCACACATGCTGTTGCGAGTAAAAGTCAAAGTTCCAGCTGGACTTCTGGTCTGTTCATCTCCCTTCATGCCCCATTCAACAAATGGAACAGCTTCGTCTATGTTATAGCCACTAGTCCAGGTTACCGTCATCTGTGCAACAAATCAAAATCATCTCAATACTATCTAGAAATAAATTCATGCTTATCATATGCTCACTAACAATGAGTACCTGCATGGAAAGATCCAACAAAAATGTTTGACATCGATGATGGAATTTAAGAAGATTAAGACCCTCAAAAGTAGCCATATGTTCATTGACCCAATGATTTAAAACTTTATGGAAATTATTGACTTATCATAGAGGGTGCACTTCCAGGGCAAGCTAATTCAGGAGTAAGTGGAAAGAATTCATAAAAGGCTTATAGACTAAACAAACTGCAAGGAAAACTAATATAAGTAGGCCAACAATTAGAACCAACTTACTTCATTCCATGACGTCCCTTGAGCAATGCGCGGATACAGGGGTGCTTTAGGATTCAGGAATGATATAAAATTCGAAACAGCCACCAATTTTGGCTGCAATATCCAATAATGAAATCAGTCATTCCTTAAAAGGCTTATTGATCAAGCAAATGAAGATTCAGGTTTATGAACCAAGATGGCATATAAATACATTTCAGAAGCAAGAAGGGATAAAATGTAAACAAATAGCGAAAGAGTCATGAACTCACACTTGACAATCCGCCAGAAAACAATGCAAACGAGAAATCTGCTCTCTGATTTATAAGCTGGAACTTCAGGGAAGCGTTACCAGTCTTTACATAATCTGGGTTACCTTCATTTGCAAACTTGTACTGTAACAAAGAATTTTTTTAAAAAAAAAAAAAAAAGAAGAAGAAAGAAAGACCACAGAGAATAATTGTAGTAAGTCTTTGAGAGGTATATGAAAGGCAATGGTTATGGCCACCATTATTTTTGTTAGGACCACCAAAGTTGTTATATTTTTATCTTAATTTAACTGTTTAAAACAGCAGATAACCAATAAAAACAGTTGGTATTTATTATTTATTAGATTGAAATTAGTTTATAAATAGATATTTTCAAATATTATAGCTAAGAAAAAAACTACAAACTAATAAAATTACAGGTAAAATTAGTCGCTTTAAAAAAAGGACTGGTGGCCTCAACAAAAAGGCTAGTGGCCATAACCTCAGCCAATATGAAACAACCGTCAATTGCACAGTGCTCCATATAAATTACATAAATTACGTCGTATACACCTTTATTGGTGATGTGCAGAGAAAGGGAGCAGCTTCTTTTGGCTCATTTGGACACGTTGATGAACTGCAATAACACAAGAACCATTTCTAATTTCTGAAGCATAACTAGTTAAAATTTTCCAGTGCAGTTACCGAAGAAAATCATTAGTTGGTTCCTATAGTTAGGGTACCTAATAAGATTAATCATTAAAAAGAGCTACAAAAACGATTCCATAAATATTGGGATACAGATGGACATTACTTGAATTTTGCAGGAGAAAAGACTCCAATCCAATCATCACTAGAAGCGTAGGGATAGAAGAGATCCACTGTAACTCCTTGAGTATCCTCACCCTGTTATCAACATATAAATTTAAAAACACATCAGAAGCAAAATCATCATTAGCTCAAGTCTCAAGACTTCAACTTCTGAATAAACAATCAATCTGATTCTTTTGGAATCTAGATCCCAGTGAGTAGAAATCAAATGGGGTTGTACCGAATACAGTAATAGAGCGATACGCACCATTTGAACGGCATTCTAATACCCCCACAAGTCCACAACCACAAGTAACTCAAACAAAAACTGAAATCAGAAAACTTTCCTCACCTGTAGACCAAGAAGAACAGGGTAAGCCGTAATTTTGGCAGAGCCATTGATAGCAGAAACAGTCTTGTGGACAGCAATCTTGGCTAGCGGCTGCCCATCGAAACCAAAGACATGAGCCCAAGCAGAGCTCAAGTTGGCAACGAGACACAAAAGCACCAAGAAGATCGTCATTGAGGGGAAACAGAAAACCCACAATACCTTGGTTTCTCTGGTTCGTGGGTGTTTTTCTTGATCAGGAGGTTCGTGGGTTTTTAAGATAGCGTGTAATCGTGATTCAAACGAATGATCAGAGCTTGATGCCGCTTTGATTCCAAGGATAATTCTTGTTTGACTTCTCTTAGGACTTATTTTTTAAAGTTAAAAATCTTTAGGATTGAGGAAATAGATAAGGGATATATCAAAGATGGCATTAAAGTCGGGAGCGACTCTTTCTGGGTCTTTCCCTCCGGCGATTGTCTCTGCCTCCGAATAGAAAAATGGGAACGGCGGCTCCAGACTGTCGGTCGACCTTCAAAGTGCTTTTACTGTTTCTCTTCGTATTTAAAAAGCAAGTAAACTCTATCAAGGCTACTTTTGCCACAGTTGGTGTTGAGCTTTTTAAGATTTCAAATGTATAATTGTATTAAATATTATAATTTATAAAAAATATTATAATTTTTTATAAATTAATTTTTTATTTACCTTATTATAAATCTTTACGGCATCAAATTTATGTTTTTGTAAAAAAAAATTATTTAAATTTTAATAAAATTAACATATTATTATTTTTTTATTTATAAAAACAATACCAATAATTCATTTTCAACAAAATTTTTATTAAAAAAATTCAACGACACCAAATCGGCATCAAATTATTAAATAGTAAAAAGGCGAGTGAAAGCTGGATAATTGTTTAGTTTTTGGTATTCACGAATGAGAATATTCGTCCCCTTTTTGGTGGAGTATTTTAAGAGCGAATGTATGTTCATTTCATTTTCCAATTTCAAAGCAAAATGACTGCCGACTGCCGACTGCCGACGGCGGCGGCAGCTCAGCAGGCGAAAAGGAGGAAAATCTGAGTCTCAAAAGTTGGAGGTATCAACTATCAAGTATCATTATGCTTCTATAGCTGAGAGAATGATAGTAATATGTTGTGC